GTTTCTGTTACGTTGTAGAGTACAATTTTAGGATGGGTGTGGGTGTGGATGTGGATCTTCTCTTACTTCTGACACCTACCAGCACCCACACTCACACCCTTGCATCAATGTTCATAAACCCGTGATGAAAACAGTTTGAACTGGAATTCCACCTATTGCAAACCTTGATATGCCAAATTTGAAAACATTCGATTTATTTCTCAACCAAGGAGGAGAAGCAAATGATGGGGGAGAGCAAGTTAAATGGGTAGCTGTGAAGACATTAGTCTCTTACCCTCTGGTGCGTTGTCTGTACTTGAATCGTCTTTTTTCAATAATGACGAAAGACATACTCGTATTCAGTTTGCACTTCATGTTAACTCATCGACTTCTATAAATTCATCTGATGTACTACTAACATATGTTAAATTCATTCTACACATTATAATAACATTTATATACAATATGTAAGTATTTTTTCGTTATACTTATAGAAATAAATATTGAGGGCGTGGGTGTTGGTGTGGGTGAAAATGGAGGAGGTTGGGTGTACTTGTTCTATTACCGACACCTACATCCACATCCACACTCTAGTTTTTTGATCGATTACAGATTGCTGATGGCATTTCTTCAGCATTTGTCGTCCAAACCCCTTCATGATGTGGATTTGAAAATGATTCTAAACTGAGCTTCCCAGAAAAGTCAGTATTGATTATTCGATTCCATCTCCAGTTTCTTGATCTTTTCGTGATAACAAAATTTTTTCTTAATTTCTTGGCTCATTCGATACTTTGTATTTTATTATCATCTGTTAATTTTTGTGTTCGTTTCTTTTTGAAACATTGTAATCCTGCTGATTTGGTAATCTTATACACTGAAGACGGTGATGTTTGCCAACTTATTTTATTTTAATTTTGCTGAAACATTTCTTATACTAGCTTTGTTTTTTAGTTGGATTTCTTTCAAGACTATGTTTCGATAGGTAGTTGTTGTAGTACTTCGTGATCTATCAGATTGTTTTCGATCATAAATTGATTCTCTTCCTAATGTGTAATCGATTTTTTTCATTAGAGCATGTCAATTTAAAAGTGGTGGATTGTCCGATTGTTGAAGGAAACTTGCAATGTCAGATGCAGTTCAGCTAGGACTCTGACGATGTAATAATAATGCTAGTGTTTGAAATGATTTTTTTTCATGTAGTCTAGATGACTTATGAGACATGATATCGAAAAAATTGAAAATGTCGAAACGAATATCAAGTAGAAGAAACACACAAGTTGAATTCACTGAATAAGCCAAAATAAAAAAATATTAGAAATCGGCACGTGCTTCTTTTAGATGGTTTACATTTGTCTAATTAAACGACACCCGTGACACGACCAGTCACAGTATATATTTAGCAACCGTTTTGATTAAGAAACAAAATGTGAACATTACTGATACAAGGAACATTTTTTCGTTCTGCACAGAACATGCTACTATCATTACACACATGATGTGCACATATGTATTTCGTTCATTTCACATCACTAACGAAGCATCGAGCTTAGTTCAAAATGAGTGTCTATGAAACGGCTAAGATATCCAGTAGTTGATTATACTTACGGTATATCTAATATGAATATGTTCAATACTTAATTAGAAAATGTTTGGAAGAAAATCATATAAATCGATTTCGAAAAATTCATTATTACCTTATTGTATTCATATTTTTCTTATTATAAGGAAAGATGCTATTCAATCATATATCTTTTGAAAGGCCATCTCGAATACTTGAAATTGATATAAAAACATAAAGGCTGGACATTGTTCTATATGTCAATATAAACCAATTTTGTCGCGTCCCAAAACTTATGAAACACCCTGTATAGAGAATATATATATACTGCATAATCGATGGTATGTTTACAGCAGATGTTTTTGTTTTATCGTATTTTATATGGAAAGGTAAAAAAGGGATTTTGGTACTTGAAGAGACTTGAAACTTATAAAACTTTACTTGAGTCTTTGCAAGTGATTCCATTCGCTGAGGCATTATTTCCGCAGAAGAGAATATTACAGACTCAGTATTTTTTCGAGATAGAATTAAAGACAATAAAGAAAACAGACACTATTGTCTCTTAGCTGCTCATACCTCACATTGTAGCTACGAAAGGACAACTGATGCTATCCATAACTAGCATAGATGATAATTAATCAATCTATAATAATTTTCGTGAAGAAAGCGTTGACAGTGATTTCAAGACATATCGTAGTAGTCGCTTTAGCTATATTTACTATTTATACTATTATTGTTTTCAAACAACCAATTTGTAATATCGATAACAAAACAAACAATTAGGCAATTGCATTGTTTTTATGAGATTTTTTCAATCATATAATTGAGACATTGCCATATATTAAACGAGATTTTTTATAGGTGCCAAAATTACTCAATAAGAGTTATTTTGAAGTGTTTTTCGCTGCCATAAGCACTGGAAAGAATCCAAACAGTGATTCAAATAGAGAAAATTGTTTTCAAAAAGAATATAAAAAAATAGAAATTATTATCAGATTCGTAAAGATAAGAACTTCAGAAAGCCAAAATACTAGTTTTTCGACACCTAGAATGGGTAAATATAATATTGTTTAGATTACCTAGAACAATAAAGTAAACAATTCTTTACACAATGAGAAGTCTTCAGTTTCTCTGAAGCGTTCTTTAGCTAAGGTATAGCAAACTTACGAAAGCCCTAAGGTCGTTCTTTTCCAATTTCCTATAGAAAAACCATTTTTTTTACCTTCAATGAAATTGCTATATTTTAGCCAAAAAATGCTGCAGAGAACTCGAACACTTCTCATTTTATAGAGAATTGTTTGTTCTATCATTCGATGTAGTCTAAACAAAATTATATTTACCCGTTCTAAATGTTGAAAACCTAGCTTTTTGATTTTCTAGAATCCCTATCTTTGTGAACTTGATAAAAAATTTTATTTCCTTATAGGTATTATTATTGAAAACGATTTTTTCTACTCGAATCACTATTTGGATTCTTCCTAACGCTTACGGCAGCGGAAAAACATTGAAAATAGACATTGTTAAATAATTTTAGTTCCCACTGTATACAACGGTAGATTAGATCTTCTTCTTTAGGATGGAAGCAAATCAAAAGATCTGAAACTGTCACAATAAAGTATTCTTATGAAAGTCTATCTCTGTACAAAGTTTCAAGTCGAAATTCGAAAATCAAATTTTCCCAATTTTTCTGAGGGAGACCATGACATTTATTTAAAAACCACTGTAAAAGTATAATATCCCGAGAGCAATAAGCTAAGGACCGGAGCTGTCTTCTGGGTATTCATAGTTCATTTGGTTCCACAGAACACGCGTAGCATCAAATCAAAAGCAATAAATCAGTTGGAATAGTCTCCTCGTAAAATTAAACAATTATCTTATAAAGACGATCAAGGTGAGAAAGAGAAAAAATAAAGTTGGCCTGAGCTGAGGTGAGGCAGGAAAAGCTTCTTATTTCAGTCTTGGGTGATTATAAAAACTATATTTAAATTTTAATGAATATATAGGGTAAGCCATAAATAAGACTACGAGAAAAAATAATTATATCTCCGCCTCGTTTCCATCAAATGCTCCAATTTTTTGGTTGGTGGTAGAAGTTTATTTTAATTTTTTTTTTCATATGAATAATGCAAGCAAACTCTATTGTTAAATAATATTATTAACATCATTAAAAATATTTAACCCACATTAAACCAGGAAAATACATGTGAAGTGTTTCATAGATAGGCTTCAATTGTCATTTAAGAGAACAACAGGAAGTTAAAAAAACTTTATGTATGACATAATATTAATGTATGCACAGAAAATTTTCAGAACTAATTACTTTGAAAGCTATGATTACAATGGTTTGCATTATCTAGCAAGGAACACTAGGTTTTGCAAGGAAGCTGATATTTTGTTGCTTCCAAGGGTTTTAATTGTGTGTTTTAGTTATGAAACAGGAATTGCAATTTTTAAACTGCCTAGTTATGAAAATTTCCTCTATTTGCATCAATGTAGTATCACTCATGAAGTTTGTTTTGATTTCTTCTTGTTATTCTCTAAGGTGACAACTGAAATTTATCTATGAAACGCTATACATGGATTTTCCTGGTTTAATATTTGGTTAAATATTTTTAAGAATGTCAACAATAATACTTGACAGTAGAGTTGACTTACATTATTCCTATAAAAAGAAATTTTAAATAAACTTCTATCACGAACCAAAAACACTTGGTGCATTTTATTGAACCAAAGCGAAGATATAACAATTTTTCTTGTAGTCTTATTTATAGATCACCATGTATGAAAAGTAAACAGGAACAATTGTCATATATTTAAATTATGATCTCAAATATGTAAAATTAGTTTGAAAATATGATTTCTTTTTGAAATATTAATCAATGTAATCTTTATTTAGATATATGTTTAATTAACTCATTTAAAATGAAAATTCATTCCGTTGAAAATAACTAATTCTTTTTTCTTTGCTTCAAAACAACCAAAATAAAATTGTTGAAATTATGTTAAATCTAAGATGATTTATTTTGTACTAGTTATCAAAAAATAATGCATATGAAAAAGTAAAGTTGAATATAAAGTAGATTAATTTTCTTGTTGTTTTATTTGAAAGATTCGATTGTGAACAGGTCTATAAATCAATTGATTTCGATCATTGTATCAAACAAACAAATAGAGAGAAACAATACGCTAATGAAAGAAAAATAGTTGCCAACATCCGCTTCTTGTTTAAAACGTAGCTGTTATTATTATAACAAGCCCAGTTTTTTCATCACAACTGAAAAGAAACAAACGAAGATAAAACCGAAACGAGAAAAAGAAGAAAAAGAAAAAGCAAGAAAATGTCACTTCTTCCCTTTTTTTCTTCTCTTCTGCTTTAGAATAACTCCGTTACGACTAATTATATTTTTAGATGACTGACAAAAGACAGCAACAATATTAATCAAGTCACGTCTCGTTTATATCGATGCAACAAATTCAATCCCAGTATGTTCATAGTACTCCATTGAGTACAAATTCTCCTTCATCAAGATCAGTAGCTACAAATACATTGAATGGATTACTTCCATTACATCGTTTATCTCAAACATCAGCTAATGCATTATCTTTACCACCAAATCAGAGTCAAAATCAATCACGTCTTTTACTAAATTTTAATAATCAATTAAAACGATCTAAAAAAATAAAATATATGTTATTAATTATAATTTTAACTGTGACTTTTGCTTTTCTTCTTATAACAACAATTGAATTGTCAACAACACTTGTTAAAGATAGAAGAGAAAAAGATTTATCATTATCTGTGGATAAAATATCAAATTTAACTCGAATTACTAATGAAACAAAATCAGAAGAAGAAAAAACTTCTCCTATTCGTTCATTCTTCGCATTTATATGGCTTTTTAATGTTTTTCTATTTTTAATTTGTTTATTTACACATTTATTTCTATATCGAAAACATTCACAACGTGGTCGAGCAAAAGCAGCTTTTCTTAGGTAAAAATTTTTTTAATCAAAAAATTTAATTTTAAACCGAAAATATTTCTTAATAAATTAATCAAATATTTTTCTTTTTGATATAGATTTAATTAATTGTTATTTTTTAAGCTAAAAAAAGAAAAGAAACATCTGTCAAACGAATTCATTAAAAATCTTTACCCTGTTGAATGTATGAAATAGATTTAGTTGACAGAACATCCGTCATCGATAAAGAAAGAAAAAAGACCGGAAGGCGAATGTTGCGCATCATCACGTTTCTTTCATAAGACACGCGTTAAAGCCTTATGAAGAGTAATATGGAAAAACAGATTACTTTTCTTTTTTGCTTTGACTATGTTTCTATTAATAATCGTCCTTGACATTATTTTTATCATGAGGACTATCTTTTAACAGCAAACTTACAAGATGAAATTGATAATCATTAACTTTACGCTACTAATTTCCTTTCAGAATTATTTTGTATTTTCAAAGAAGATTTTATTTTCTTTTAATGAGCACTCTCTTATATTACTGTAGATAACAATTTCGTTAATGATCTCTTATCCTCAATAGAACAAGTATAATTTAAAAAAGAAAAAAGATAATTACAACTAAATGAATAAGTTGGATGTTTTTTTTTTGTTTTTTGATATAATAAATTAATGTATAATTAATTATTTTAGAGAATGTGTTCAAATATTTGACAATGAAAAATGTTCAGCAAATAATAAATTCGTTGATTATTTAATAAAAACATGTTTATTATGTATCCTATGGTATTTATCTTGTTATTTAATATTTCGTTCAATGGCTATACTTATATCTTCTCAGATAATAATATTAATTTCAATTAAAATAACATTACGACAAATTCTTGGATGGATTTTTTTACATGAACAATTTATTGGACATAAAGTTTGCTGATTATTTATTTTAAATAAATTAAGATATTTTGTTTTTTTTTTTTAAATAGATAATAGCTCATATACTTGCTTTATCAGCTTTACTTTTTCTTAGTCATGATAATGGATTTCGTTTTAATAAATCTCTGTTTGCTTTATCAATGGTTACTTGTGCTGTTGCAATGAAAACTATTTTTGATGTAAACTTATTTGATTTTGTTTGGTTTTTTTTTTGTTAAATATTTAATTAATTTATGATTTTAAATAGATTCTTATGACTGGTTTTATTAAAAGTTTAACAAATTCAAAATATCGAACAGTAATGATTAATGTATGTTTATGTGGAACATGTTTTCTTTGGCCATTGGTTTTCATTTTTCATGTAACTCGAATTGAACCAATTTATAGTCATCATTTTTATTCATTTCTTACCATAATTGCATTTATTAGTGCACTTCGTAAGAGAGAATCATTAGAAAAAAAAATTAAAATTTTAGTTCTTTTTTTGAAGTATTTAATGTATTGACAATAACAATTTCGCTTAAATCTACATCATTGGCTAATGTGGCTGCTTTTATTCTTGTTATTCCTTCGATATCACGTCAGTTTTGTATTTTATTTTTGAATTATTTATTTATTTATTTATTTAATTGAATTAATTTAGTAATTGATCGTTATTTGTTAAATATAAAATATTCTCCATTATTTATATTGTCTATAGTATGTTCATTATCGAGTGTTCTTCTTTCAATGATACCAAAAGAAGGGTTTCAATCAAGTGAAAGAATTAAAATGAAACAAGCATTAGGTTTAATTAATAAAGAATCGAATACAAATGTTGCTGCTGGTTTATTACCTAGTGGTGGAACAACGACAAGGACATCTTCAGCATTTCAAGAAATAAAAGCACAACGACTAATACGAAATGCTTTTTTATTCAACGAGAGTAAAACTTGAGTTTTCTTTTCTTTTATTTAGTAAAATTTTTATGAAAATAATCTCGTTCATTATGATTTAGAATACGAAATTTCAATTGACATCTAGAGATTTATTTCTCGTTTCGATTTTTTTAAAGTCTTTGAATGAGAAAAACTTGTTTTTATTTTCTGTGAATTTTATTTTTCTGTTTTGAATAAATTGTTAAGTTAGAATTTTTCAAGGAATTATTTTTGTTACTTAGACGAGAATTGTTTATTAATAAATTTTGAAAAATTATTAAACTTGATTTAATATGATTTATTTTCAATTCTTATTAAAGAAAAACTTTTGAATATCTAAATAAATATTCTATTTATTATCGTTAATGAAGAAAATAGATGATATTATTATCATTTATTATTCTTAAAATCAAACTTTTCCTATTTTAATTAAGTTTAGATGAAATAATCTATATCAAGATATGCGCATCTCTTCAACAAAAATCATATTCATTTTTATCTTCTAATCATCGTATGATTAACGAAACATGAACATATTTATAATAAAAATCAGATAAAATCTTATTCAGATACACAAACATATAAAATAGCTTTTTCTAGGCGTATTTTCAATGATCTAAATAATGATGTAAGAAATAACAGAACATAAGAGATGGTAAGTTTTTATTTTCAGGAAATTCAAATGAAACGACGATGATAAAAATTTCATGGAAATATAATTCATTGCTTTGATAAATAAGGCAGAATTTTGATTTTTGATATGAAAAGTATATAGAAATAAAGTTGATATCTTTAGAATTGGATTGCCTCAAGATATTCATCTCATTACTGTGAACCATTCGTAAATGATTCATTGACTTACTTGAATATTATCATTAATGACTAGTACTGTAAAGTAGTTGTTCTAATTCCTTCTTGAACTCTAAAATATATTTTGAAATAAAAAGGTTAGCTAGTTTATAATTATGCAAGTGCAAAAAGGATAGAATTAATTTAAGGATGTGAGTCTCGGTAAGGCTCTTGCTTTTATCCGCACACACCCACATCCCATAATGATTTATTTTCTAAAACTTGACGAATAGTTTTCGGGGTCAAACAATACGAATCTATAATCAGTTATTCGAAATGTTTCAATCTGATTTTTCGATCATCGCAGACTTAACATAAGAAAATGAATGCGCTTTTCAAAAAAAAAGAAGAAGACTTGACACTTTCAGAGTGGAGAGATCCAAATCTACAGTTGATTTGTCAAAATTGTCAAGTTTGGTTGTTTTCAATGAAGAAAGTTCTGTTTATTGCGATTCATTGACATTTAATAAGGTTGGTCTATTTTCTTGAGATCGCCATCCCGAAGATTTTTAATCTAGTTTTATGAAAACTCATTAGTTTCTCTCAATAGTCTTGTCTTGATCGAAAAAATCTAATTGAAACAGTATGATCCACATCGGTTGTTATCATTTCAATTTCAATTTTAATTTTCGATATTTACCTACGAGTACTGCATCAGTTTTCCAAAATCTTTTAACAGAATTTGGTACATGGCGTCTCAACTTATCCCGTTGATAAATCTTGATATAGACAAGAAAGAAATATATTCACTGATTTCATCAATCGCACATTGAAATCTATTATTGCCAAAGTGATGTACTATCTAATAAAAGTAGCTCGTCTTAAACTAACATACTGTTTTTATGTCATTCTAATCGAAAAAATTTATCATATAAAAAGGTTTCAAAATTGTTTTTTATCGTCATTGTCTAATTGAAAAAAATAAATTAACAATTTGATATTAATATTTCTCTTTTCATTTCATAATTTGTTTAAAAACTATAAGAATCTATTTTATTTTATTTTTAATAATATATATTTTTGTAAAAATATATCCATTGATTGATGAAACTTCATCTTGTAAAATAATGTTAGATATCAAGCAATTACTTACAGATTTAACAAAGATTTTTCAATTTAATCGAATAATATTACGTCTGTAGAACATTTTTATGAAATTACATAGAATCGTTGACAGATAATTCGTTTAAATAAGTCACTATGAAAGCAAGACGATTCATCATTATTAATCTAAGTCAATAGTAAAACTGAAATAACTTTAAAAGACAAGAATAATGATGAGTCTTTCATATTATATATGAAAATTATATTTTATAATCGTACAAAAACAAAGTCCTCTTTGACACTTTTTTGATTCTTTCCTATCTTAATATGTTAATATTCCTTGTCTTTTTTCGTTATTAACAAATAAAACTTTCCATTTTCTATATTATGTCACTGACAGAGTACTTCAATTCCCTCTAATGCTGAGACACACAAATATGTCCATCACTTCAGAGGTCTTCAGCAGAGAACTCAATATCTAACATGTCGAAGTTAATGATTTGCATTAGTTGAAGGTATAGGTCGCTTTTCAATGAATTCTATCAATTCTTATTTCAAGATTACTCAAAGATTATTTCATAAATCAGACAAACTAAAATTGTTTCCCATGAAATTTTTATTCGTGACAGAAATAACTCTTGAGCTCTATAATTCTATATTCTCTGCATACAAGTCAACCCAATTATAATTGGTAGTTACAATCAAGATTCATCTTGCTCGATATTTTTTCAATTCAAATAAGAGATCAAACATTTCAAGTGAAGTTACATTTTGTGACTATAATATGACAATAATAATCATTTATTTCTAGACAAAAATCTCTTTTGAAAAAGAAACCTATGATAATAAATTGATTTTAACATTTTTAATTATTTTTTGACAATCTTTTATGTTTAAATCATTTTCAAAAAAAAAAGAAAATCAAAAGTCGACTAATTATTGAAGAAACTGACATTTTCTTTTATTGTTATGAAAAATATAAAGAACAGAAAAATAATAATCAACAAAAGATGCCATCAATCAATGTACATCGACATAAACATTTTGCAATGGGACATTGTTGATTCATTGCAAACCAATTCGAAACATGTTCAGCATGACCACCATGACGACATAAACGACACCATGTAAACCATTGACTTGACATTAATGTATGTTTATCTAATGGAATATTTTAAAAAGAAAATCAAATATATAATTAATTAACAAGAGAAGTTCTTCAACTGATTAATCACTTTTCAGTTAGAACTATGTGCATCATGTAAATCCAAATGAGTAAATGATTACACTGAAAAAGAGTTCGAATCTTTAGCTTATTGCTATAGAGCTACAGCATTTTTATGGTATTTTTTTCACTCAATGTCATGCTTCTCATCAAAATTAAGTACAGCGATATGTCTTAATAAGTGTAGTTTATTGTGAAATTTTTAAGGCTTGTGATTAATTTCTATCTTGAAATAAGAACATTGAAATCTGCCTGTACATATGAACGATGCAAAAGATACTTTTACCATAACTGTATCTTAAGATAGGAAAATCGAAAAGATCTCAAACTTTAAAAATAAACGATTCTCATTAAGATCTGTCGTTGAGTGAAGTTTCAAAACAAAAATTTGAAAATCAAATTCTCCGGTATTTCTAAGGGTGACCATAATATTCAGTTTAAAAAAATGCCGTATTTTTGTAGCAATTAGTTAATGAGCTGAACTCTTTTCAAGGTATTCATAGGTGATTACGATTTTCCTGAATGAAAAATGATTAATTAGTTGTAAAGGTTTCCTTATTAATTGAACAAACCAAGTAATGGTTCATATGCATAAGATGCATCTTCAATATATGTTGTTAAACTCATCATACAAATTGAACAACGTGGTAAGACTTGACGACATTTGGCGCATACCATCAACTAAATAATTAAAAGATTAATTTAAAAAAAGAAACTTTTTTAATTATTTATGAAACCATATCAGAATTTGATGGTGGATAAGTAGATGAAGATGATGCAGATGATCTAGTTGCCATTGTTTGTTGTGCTATTCGATTTTGAACTTTCAATGGTGTCGTTGGAATAGGTGTTGTATTTGTTGATAATCCCATCATTGTTGGAGTTTGATTTGAACTTCCTTGATTAACTTCAAGTGGTGTTTGACAAAAAATACATGAAAAATGTTGATTTGTATTTATTGAACGATCATAATAATGTCGACGATATGGTGTTGTACCTGTTACATGACTACGATATATATCAAATTCAGCACGTTCATTCCACATTTGAAGTTCATCAAGAAGAAGTCGAAATCTTTAAAAAAATTAAATTAATTTTTTTTCAATTAAAATCAAACTAAATATATTCTTTACCCTTCAATCCATTCTTGAACATAAGGACATTCTTGATGTACATCTTCTGGAACATAAATAGCAAGTAATGCAGCTGTACGTATATCACTTGTTTGATCAAGATATTTTTGTATAAGTTCACATCCACTTTGTCTTAATCCTATAATAACAGAAGTATAATTGATCTTGTTTATATATTGAAATAGATCACAGTAGAGTAATAATGTTTTTTCAAATCTTTTCAAAATTCTTAAGAATTATTTTAAGGACTTTTTTTTAATAAAAAAAAATTTTTCGTAAAATTATGATCAAAACTGAATCTTTTTTTAGTCGAGATTATGAATAAAATCAATTTTGATTCTGTTTTTTTCAAAGCATAAACCAAAAAAGTTTTTGATAAGTTTTGAATGACTAAGAAGTTTCTTTTGTTTTTTATATGATTCCTGTGTTCATATGTTGATAATGAATCGAAATCGATTTAGAAATTAAATTCTTAATCTAACGAATAACTTTTAATTCTTTTAAATGGTTCATAAAAATTCAAC